TATATATATATATATACGAGGGCTCCGCCCCCTGCTCGCTACCGCTCACCAACCCCCGATAACTGCTACACAACTACATTTTTGTTCGCTTCGCGAACAAAATTAAAATCGTTTTCCTGGACATTAGCTGGCAATTTTTCTGCACCAACATCACATAGAGAGAATATGATAGGATTGTAATATGTCAGAGGTCCTTGTAATCAGCATTATAAACTTATATAAAGCAATTTTAATAAAAACAATAATATAAACTTATAATATAAAGCGAGGAAGCAATATTATTTAACAAATTACTATAGGACATCAGCCGGAGATTAATCTCCGTATTCGAAGCGCACGTGGCAGAGTCTAACTCGGGTTGACTATATTTGAGGGTGCCCCTTGATTCTAGTTGTAATCGCGGTTGATCACCAAGCTGAGAGATGTTGAAACCCAATCGTGATTCTGATTGGTTTAGATTTTAGCATTATTTTTAAATGTTCAACGGTATATGTGATTTCAGACATCCGTTAGTTCTAAGTTGGATACCGGCTTTTAAGGTTACTTTTTCTTCTGGTCAATAAGAACGAAGGTATGTATGCAGTCATAAAAAGGGACTTTAGTAAAAAATGTCATCGCCAGTCCGGTACAAGAGACGCAATTTTTGATTCGTATTTCACCGAATTTATGTGGCGATGGAGGTACACAGATTCTATTCATGATAAATTTAGACAGCATCTAACTGCTATTAGAGAATTCGATGCACCTAAATCTGAGAATATTCAAGCTTAAAGAAGAAGTAAGTTGTTTCCTTCCCTTTTCCTTCTGTGCTTACTGCATTAATTTTTGTTTCGATTCAAAATGCATTTTCTTGGGCTTATTAATTTTGCTCATATCAGGTTCATTGCAATTTTATGAAGTTTTGGCCGATGTCTTGTTGAAATTTTCCAATGTTTAATTGAAATATCATTATATTTTGGCAGCCATTCCTGTTACCAAGATTTTCCGCTCAAACAGGAATGGCGCCAAACATAAGTCGCCAATTTCGCCAAGGAGCACCCTCAAGTACATTTTTACCCCTACTAACTCAAATCAGTGTTTATCTTATAGGATGCCGGAAGCTCCCTAATTTGTGCTTCATCTCCCCCCTCTCCCCCAGTAATTTAAATTTTAAACTGAAAACAATTATAACCCAATGAAAAAAAAACTTTAAAATATGGCAAACAAATTAAAACATGTAATATTAATAAGTTGATGCTGAATAATATTTCAAAAGCAAAACCCAAAGTAATTGCCCAATTAACTACAATACTGTCAACTGACAAAATATTTTAGTTTCAATCAGACAAAAAGCAAATTATATAATAAAAACATACGTAACTGATATTCGACGAATTAAATTAGGCAATTTAATTTTTTTGTCATATTGAATACTAAAAAAAAAACAAATGTGAAAATGTAAAATGGAATAATTATGTTACCAATGATCAATAAACATTTTTGTATGATTATCATAGAAAAATAAGGTGAAAACAATGAAATAAAAAATTATTTACAGTAGATCTTTGAATATTCATAAAACCTAGCTATGTTCATTTTTCATTGATTTTCCTTTTCACATCATTTTGTGTACCAATAGTTTGCACTTTTACGCATCTATTATATATAATTCTCTTACGAGGCTCCCAAATTTTGGCTGTATTTCTTTTTCGTCGGTGGCAACGTTTGCTTTGTTTTGTTTACGTTTTGAAAACACCAAAGCATTCTACCTTTTAATGATTTGTTTCTGATCTAATATATATAATTCTCTAACGTTGATCCCAAATTTTGGCTGAAGTACTTTGTACAACTAAATAAGATTCTTTTCACAACCCTTAAATATTTACTTTATTTTCTTCATACATCAGTCGGCAAAGAATTCTGTTAGGTTAAAAAACATTTCGCTAAAAAAGTAACGAATTCTAAAAGAAATAAAAATAAGCAACTTAAAAAATAAAAATGCTGTTGCCAGCCATAGAATTTTATGAAAGTTAACTTAGCAACATAAATCAAAATAACATAGAAGCGCAACTGGATCAAAATTATGATACCTGAGCGCTTGACGTAACAAATCCTTCAATTCTATAAGTGTTGTATCGCCAAATGCCCAAATTTACAATTGTGTTCTTAAAGAAATTCTATAAAAAGTTTTAAATAAACAACCTACTTCTACAACTGCTTCTTGAAGAACTTGGCTCATTGATTAAAAATATTGTTTTAATTTTACAGTACTAACTTTACTTCTACTTTCATTATTGCTATGACCCTCTTTCATTACATTTTACAACTTCATGCTAAATTTGAGGACTTTAAATTGTTTTGTGGTTGAATACTGACATTTAGAAATGTGTGCATAAAAAAACAATGTGTGCAAGAAATGTGTGCAAATTGTTGACACTGAATTTAATAATAGAAACAATCGTTTTTTAGAAAAATTGAATTGTATTGCTGACATCAAAACTAAAAATATTGTGTTTCAACTTCACTGCCTTAATTTTACTGACATTTTGAACAAAATTAATGTTTAGAATTGCCTTGGAGAAATTTGAATTATTAACAATGACTTAAACAAAAAGTTTTATTTTAACTGACAAATGCTATATTATAACTTTAACTTTTTCTATGACTATACTCATTTTCTTACTCTTTTCTTTGTTTTTTATACATTTTATTTTTTTGTGATAAAATAAAAAACTTATAGTTGTTCTGCTTCTGAACACTGATGAAAACACAAAATGATGGGCTTCATCAACAATCAAAAATATATACATTTATTTTACAAATTCCATATTATTAAGGTGGCGCCCTTCAGAGAATTAAAAATACAAAATTATCTTCATCAAAGCCGATGCTTTACATCCGGCGTTCAGTGGCAGACTACTATTTCATATTGTTTTACAACACATGGCTTTAGCCCTCTGGTGGGAAAGACTTTAAAACAAAACTTACAACAGTTACTTTTCTCAACAACTGAAATTTAGAATTGTGAGATTAAGAAAAATATGTGAACTGTTTGCAATTTAAAATTAATATCGAAATGTACAGGTTTAGAATTTTCTACAGTGAAAAGTTTTCGGAACTTCAGTATTCAAAAAAGTATACAAAAACTAGACGTTAAGAACGTATCCAATGATCGAGCAAAGCGAGCATTGGAGTGTGAAGCAATCCGAAATGAACTGCGAAAGCAGTTCCGGGGGTTGGCGAGCGCCAGCGAGCAGGGGGCGAAGCCTCCTAGTTATTTAAGAAATATCTTAAACAAAGATGAACTGTTAATTAATATTTCTGGTTGCAGGATTTTTTGAAAGTAAGTAAAAAACAATAGGTAGACAATGTGTAGACTGGTGATAATATTTGAGGGTGCCCCCGCCAAGTTGTGATCGCGGTTGATCGCCAAGCTGGGTGATGTTGAAAACCAATCGTGATTCTGATTGGTTTAGATTTCAATCGTGATTCTGATTGGTTTAGAATTTAGCGTTGTTTTTAAATGAATTTTTAAATGTTATTTCAGAGATCCGTTAGTTCTACTTTGGATACCGGCTGGTAAGGTTACTTTTGCTTCTGGTACTAAAAATGAATACTGTCAATAAGATAAATCTTAAGTTTCTGTGCGATTTGAATAACAATGGAAAAAAAGCAGTGATTGACTGGTGTATGAATGAAGGTTTAATTAGCAATAGATATAAATGTCCTGTTTGTGGGAAAGATATCTCTCTGGTTGAACGTAAAGATCGATCAGATGGCTTTGAATGGGTTTGTCGTGTGAAAGGTTCAAATGCTCACCACATAAAACGATCTATTAGAGAGGGATCGTGGTTTGAGGAGTGTCATTTGATTATGATTGATATTTTAATTTTTACTTGGATGTGGGTGCATGAAGCTAATAGCGAAATGATTACAACGGAACTCAATATTAACAATGACAAAACTATAACGGATTGGAAGAATTTTTGTAGGGATTTCTGTGTGGATATATGTACAAGAAAGCGTGAAATGATTGGGGGACCTGGCATTATTGCAGAAATAGACGAAAGTAAATTTGGGAAACGAAAATACAATAGGGGTAAACGGGTGGATGGAAAGTGGGTGTTTGGTGGTGTTGAAAGAGAGAGTAGAAGGTGCTTTTTTGAAGTTGCTCCAGATCGCACAAAAAAAACTTTGTTGAGTATAATTGAACAAAATATCTTACCCGGAACAACGATAATGTCCGATTGCTGGAAGTCGTACGACTGTCTTGCGGGAAGCGGGTTCGTGCACTTATCAGTAAACCACTCTGAGACATTTAGGGATCCGGAAACCGGGGCCCATACCAATAAGATGGAAGGTCTGTGGGCAGTTATTAAAGGAGACTTCAGAAAAAAATGTCACCCCCTCCGGTAACACTGACGCCATTTTCGACTCATATTTCGCCGAATTTATGTGGCGATGGAGGTACAACGATTCTATTCAAGATAAGTTTAGACAGTACCTAACTGCAATTAGACAATTCTGTGCACCAAAATCTGAGGATATTCAAGCTTAATGAAGAAGTGAGTTGTTTTTTTCTTTTTCTTTCTGTGCTTACTCCATTAATTTTTGTTTCGATTCGAAATGCATTTTATTGGGTTTATTAATTTTGATTCTATTGTGTTCACTGCAATTTTAAAAAGCTTTGTTTAAATTTTCCAATGCTTCATTGAAATATCATTATGTTTTGGCCGCTGTTCCTGTTACCACGGCGTTCTGGTTAAACAAGCATGGCGCCAAACATAAGTCGCCAATTTCGCCAAGGGGCACCCTCAAGTATATTTTTCCCAAAATAATTAAAAGTAAGAAAAAACAATGATAAAATTAAAAATTATTTACAAAACCTCCTTATATACAACATTCTTATCAGTTTCTTTTCTATATTATTCGTTTTTATTTAAACATCTTAACTCTTCAACGTTTCTTCGCCGCGCATTTCGCTGTCGCGTATTGATAGTACTGCGATTATTTTCCCGGTAATTTTGTACTGCTAAATTTCAGCCCTATGTCGCTGTTGATATCTCCTAAAATATTCACGGCGATCGATTTTTTATAAAAGATATAAGTATTTTAAAGTAAACTCTGTTCAATATATTTCACACATTCAATACTTCAATACAAAATAAAAATCGCAACAAGATTTAGCTGTTAAGTTTAGTTGTAACACTTAAGTTTAGATGTAACTGCAGACAGCATTATTAAAAATTATTACCTTTACACACACATGCGTTCTCAATTTTGATTGGCTGTGCAAATGTATACCGGGCAAATGTAAATGTATGGCCCGATACTCCAAACACTGATTTTTCTTCTGATCTATCGTCAGTAAGTATTAAAATATCGAATGAATGTAATTATATCCACGAATAAATTCATATCAAATCGAACGTAACAAATATTTCGGAGATTAACCAAAGCGACTATGTGATTGTTGACATTCGCCAGATTTAGGTCATTCACCGTAACATATATATATATATATAAATCANTCCATTTTTACCCTAAACTTTCAGCTGCTAAATTGTTAATTTTTCAGGGTTGCCAACAATTTACTGCAAAAATGGCGACAAATTCAAATCTCGCATTAATTTTGGGACATCCTATATATATATACACTGAGTGGCCAAATTAATATGTCCACCAGACAGTTTTAGAAAAAATCAAGTGAATCATCAATTGCACTATGTTACTAGCAGGGCAAAAAATGTGACTTGAAAGCGGGGTGATTGTGGGAGCTCGGAACCAGTATCGGCAAAACGACAGCTCTAGTGAATTATTCGAGAGTAGTAGTTATTAATTTATATGGAGAATTACTCTAAAACAACTCTTCAAGCTAGTGGTGGCATTGTTATGCTTTGGGGGATGTTTTTTTCAGCATTGCAAGGGTCATTTAATTCCTGTGTAACAACGTCTGAATGCTCAAGAGTATTTAAGTATAATCGCAGATCAAGTGCGTCCTGTTATGTTAATGGTGTTCCCCTTGTTCGCGATGCTACCTTCAGCAAGCAATGCTTCTTGTTATACAGCTCGCATTGTCGTCGGATGATTCAAATAACACGATACTGACATTGCCTTGCTTCGTTGGCCAGCGCAATCAGCAAGTCTCAATCCAACTGAGAATTTGTGGGATGAGATTAAACGGGGAATCAGACAGCTAGATCCAGTGCAACCCAATCTGGCGGAACTGAAAAGTGCAGCTCATCGGATATGGGGTCATGTATATGGGGTATATGTAACTACGGTATATATAAATTAAATTAAAAATTTAAAGACAAAAGATTTCAAGGCATGTATTCGGTGCATACGTTAGGTACAGATTATAGAATACTTACAAACATTTGTTATTGTTTCTGCACAACAGTTGTAGGTATAGTATTACCACTATAGTGCATGAATCACTTATTCCATATGCTATCCAGGTAAATATGCAGATCAACTTTAATGATTCGTTAAATAGCCTTTTATTATTTCATTCACACATTTTTAAAATTGTCTAAAAATTACCTAGCGATTATGTGGTTTACACCCTAACTATTCGTTAAAAATTATGTTTGCTTTTGTTTACATATAGTCTTGTTTTTAAGAAAGAAGAAATACCATAAGCGATGTTCTGTTGTATAGTGCACAAAACAAGAAACAGACCACCCTGAATAACTTTAGTTCTGAAGATCAGATTTTCACAATCAAGAATTCGATCTCAAAGATCCTAGGGGGGGGGGGCTTGAATATGCTAATTAGTTGGTACAGACGATATTTTAAATCAGATACAAAAATGTATTTTCTCTGAATAAACATACCTTTTTTTTTCGATGGATTTGGATTTCTGACCCCCAAATTTTGGGGGGTAGTGGCCATTTCGGAATAATGGTCCCTATAGTTTGATCAGGAAAGTGGTTCAAAAATTATTCCCCTTAATGTAAATTTTATTTTTTGCATAGTTCGCAATATCTGAAGAACATTCTAGGCGAGATGAAAATTTTTTGCACAAAATTATGAAGTTCGTTTATTGAAATATGACTGCAATATGACCGAATATTAGATGCAAAATATGACAATGCAGAACATAATTTTCAGTAAATTTTTATTATATTTTACTATTTTATTTATTAATAGTCGAAAAAAGTTTGAATGGCAATGTGCACTATTGTTTCTATCTTTCTATCTGTAACTTCGCATGGGAAAATAAAATTTTTTGTAAAATGGGATAAATAGTTTCTGAAAAATCAAACTTTAAAAATGCGGCTTCTTTACTATTTGATTTCTCAGGAACTTTTAGACCGATTTTTCTAAAATTTTGCATTTTGTCATGTAAAATTATATTGTTTAAAATAACGTAAAAAATTTTACATCTGACAATTTAAAATTTTTTCGTCTGTTATTAAATAAAATAATAAAAAATTATAAATAATTAAATAATAAAAATATTAAACGGAATTCATCTTGAATATATCACTTAAATGCGCATACCTGTTGGAGAGTTAACTACCAATAATTTATTTAACAGTTAAATTGCTTAAAAATATGTAAACTTCTATTATTTTAAAATAATATTAAACATATGGTATAATTAAAAAATATGGTAATTATGTTCACAATTAAAGATCAAATGAATGAATTTATACATTTTGTGCATTACGAAAAATATGCTCTTAATAGAAATATTTTTACTTCCCATCCAGAAATTACACCAAGTTTGATGTTTTTAATCCCTTCCTTGCAGATAAGGACTTTTCGATTTTCATAACGATTTTTTTTTGCTTTGTTTAAAAATCAACTGGTGGCTTATTTTGAATACTACATATTTGGCAAATAATTTAAAATATATATTAAAGGGTGGGAGAGACGGATTGATTTATTTTAATCTTTTAATTTTTAAAAATTTTTATTTGCTTTATTTTAACTTTTGATGTGGATTTATTTCTTTATTTTTGAAAACTCTACCATTGCCTCCATAATTAGAAAGACTCCTATTAGCGTATACATCTAGAGTTCAATAAATAATTATGGATTTAATAAATCCATTTTTTTAAATAAAAGTAAGACTATTTGAAAAATTTTTTTGAATATCAATTTTCTTGGATTATTGATACTTTGACATTCCAACTATTCTTTTGAAAATAATGTTGTAAATAAAGTAACAATAACCACTAGATGTTATTTGATCTTTTTAAGATTTCTATTAACTTATAAATTTTAAAAATAATTCAGAAAAAATAGAACATTAAAGGACATGCAATTGTTTCAGGCTTAGTTTTCTTATTAGTGATTAAAAATAATTAGTCATTAGTAGTTTGAATGTTAGTGATTAAAAACGATAATATTTCCACTGCCGACGAATAGAAAAATATGATCATGAAACCAAACAAATAATTAATAATTAAATAATTTCATAAAAATGTCATTTTAATTCCTCTCAAAAAATATTTTTTAGTAAACTAATACTTTGATTGAAAAGAACCAACAATTTAGTTTTAACGACTATTATATTTTATTGATCAATTTTTTTTTTAATTTATGATATTTTTATCTTTTACGTTTTTTATTAAAAAAAATAGTATAACTCAAGTTAAATGTCCGTTAAAAAAATATTTTGTTTCTTTATAGTATTTATAATAACATACTAAGAATTTAATGTACTTAAATAAAACTTAAAATTTTCAAAGCGTATTCATTTGCTCTTAAAGAAAATGAATATTTATTAAAGTAATTAATTTCCCATTTCTTGTTTGAGAGAAGAATGATTATGTACTCAAATAAATAATAATTAATAATGAAATAAGCTTATAAAAAGGATTTTAATTCCCCGGTTAACGCTATTCTATGATTTTACAGTCAAAATGTTAGTTTTAACCAATATTACATTTTACACAAGTATTTATTTTTTATTCATTACCTAGTTTATGAAAGAAAAGTATAACATAATTAACTTAATATGTGAATAAAAAACATTGAAATTTTTATTCAATAATAATATTAAACAATTAAGAATTAAAAATATTTAAATAAAGCCTAAAAAAATTTCTAAAACTATTCATTTGAATTTAAAGATGACAAATATTGAATAAAGTAATTAATTTTCCGTTTCTCAGTGGATAGAAGAATGATCACTGACTCAACCTAATAAATAATAAAGAACTCAGCCAAGAAAATACGTAATTAAGCCTGCCAACGATCTACTGACATGGGATTTAAAGCTTGACTGAGAATTTCATACTACTTTTTCAATATATTTTTTTCTTTTTTACTTTCAGAACAAAATTCCATAACTAAAGGTTTTGTTTTCTTAGCGTTTTTGTTTAGTTTTTAAAAAAAAATAAAGTAATTAAGCTTAAACACTACGCCAACTCAAGTCAATTTGGCGGCTTTTCAGATCCTTTTTCGAAACTTTATTTGATGTGAATAAGTAACATCTGTTACTTTGAAGACAGGGATATGAAATAAATAATGTTTTCTTTTTTCTTTATTTATTTAGCTTTTTTTTGTTTGATGACATGAGGGAAATTTAATGAATATTCATTCTGTAAGGCGTTAAAGACATTTTTTCTCATTAGATTCGCGGCATATTTGACATTTTAATTTTTTTTTTTTTGTAGTTTCGCAGTATAAATAGAAAATATGAAGAATAAATTTTCGAGTTTATTTTTAAAGAAATACAAAAAAGAAAAACATCTTAGTTTTCTTTCTCATATTCTTCAGTGACCCCGAATCTAATATTTCATCCATGTACTTGTTACTGTTACTGAAGCGTTGCAAGTTCAATTCAATTTTTTCCGAATAAATAAATTACTGTTGCACATTTTTTGCAGTTCGTTTTCAATTTTCTTTCTTTCCTTAGCTGCCTACATTGCGTTCTAAATCATAATTTTCACTTTAGTACCTAATTAATTTTGCCTGTAAAAATTGTATTTTTGTCAAAATTTTGGCTATTAAAGACAAATTTAGTCAACTGCACTGCTGCAAAATTTAATGCATCAATTTATAATATTCTTATGAGATTAAAATTTATCTGTGATTTTAAAGCAGTCACACAAACACTATTGCAATCATTGGGCTTCATCGAGCATGCATCAAAGCAAAATTTGTAAAATAATTAATGCAAAATATTATCAAAAAGTTTTACATTGCTAAAATTTACTGTTATTTTAATTAAAATTTTGCACATTACTGTTTTGAGAAATGGAATTACATTACTCTGGATATAGCAGGAACATTATATATACATATATATATATNTATTAATTATTTGCTTTTTATTTCTTTTAAAAAAATTTCATCGAATTCTACTAAGAAAAAAGGGAAATTTTGAATTTTCTAACTAAATATATGCCGATAACTAGTTTAATATATCTATCGTATAAATATTTAGACACTTTAGAAACATTTCACACAAGAGTGAAGGAAATGATCTCCGTGAGAAGCTTTAAAAGTAGGGTTTTTTTATCAAATTTCAAAAGGGAAAAATTTTTCAAAAGAGGAAAAACGTTCTTTATCTTTCATTTCATTTCCTTCATTAGAAAGGATAGAAAAAAAAGTGTTTTTTTTTAAAATCTTAGCTTTTTAAGTGTTTTTCCCTTATTTCTCTGGACAACCTTTTTAGTTACTTCTCCCATCCATCTCTTCTGTTCCCTAAATCTGAAAAGAATCTGCAGAAACTGCACTACTCTAAAGGACCTGTACTCAAGAGTTTTTGCTACCATGGTCAATACCCTATCTTTAGTCAATAGTGCTTGTCATTTTATTCAATAAACTCATCTGGTGAGTTAAGTATTACATCGTTAACAGCCATCATTATCTGTATTACATCATTATTTCAAAGTTTATTGGTTATAATTTACAACGAAATCAAGCGAGTTAAAACTGCACGACCGAATCACTCGTTTGTTATATTCCTCGAGGACAAATTTTAGTCAGGAAAAAACCTTGTATAGGATATTGCTCGTTGGAAAAATATCTTACGTAGGATAAATCTCGCTATAAAAAACTCTTGTGTATGGTAAATCTCACTGAAAAAAACGTCTGTGTAGGATATTACTTGATAGAAAAAAAATCTGAAGTATAAATACAGCTGGAAATCTCTTGTACAGGATAAATCGCGATAGAAAAATCTTTTGTGTAGGATAAATATCGCTAAAAAAACTCTTGCATGGGATAAATCTCACTGAAAATAATTCTTGACTAGACATAACACACCAGAAGTAAAATTTTGCTTAGTCGAATACTTTCATTCGTAAAAAACTTTGTAAGCAAAACTTTGCAAGAAAAAACTCCTCTTTGGACAAAATATTGGTGGATAACTGTAGTTTCTCTTCAAATTATGGTTGAGAAATACTTATGTGTACAAATTCTGTCTGGTACGAAATACTACATTTTATATAAGTATTTTTATTTGTGCAAGAATCTATATGGGAGCTTTATTCATCAAAAATTCTGTCACCAGTAAAATGCATAATCTTAAAATTTTGCATGAAGTGTATGAAATATATGTATGTGGTGTACATGAAGTATTTGTATGAGGTTTTGAATAGGGATTTCTATAGGGCATCAATGGTAAAATAAGGAAACAAATATTGCTATGATGTTCAGCAGAAAACAATTACATCACTTTTACATTAAGTAATTAAAAATTAAGTAGTTTAGTAATTAATCTCATAAAAAATCTTTCTGATATTTATTAAGGTTATTTCCTATCAACATTTTATTTTAAAACTGCATCAAATAATCATTAAAGTGATTGTTTAATTCTTTGTAAACACAGTAATGTACACTAAAAAGATATTGATCTTCTCAAATTAGACATTCTGATCATAAAATTAATGAAATTCCAAGACATAATACAGTCTGAAGTCATTTTAAAATAGGTCCTTGAATCTTTATCGTGTCTATGTTCCTAAAATTTGATTATCCCGCTTCTTTCAATACATTCACAGTTTAATGTTTTCGTTTCGTCATTTATCCGGTATTACTACTTCTCTTTTTTGACGCCAGTGACTGATGAAGTTTCCTAAAATTAAATTAAATTACTCTGAATACACTGATAATTCTAGACATTTAAAATACATGCAATTATATACAGACGAGAGACGGGTCTCTTAACTTATTATTAATGTTTTTTTTTTTTTTAAATTTTTCATACTGTATTTTGTGATTTTTGAGAGAGAAAAATGGAAACTTCCAATATGAAAGTTTTTTTGAAAATAAACTCAAGCATCAAAATAGAATTAGCTAATGTTGCTACCTGTGTTCATGAATTAAAAATAAACGTTGCTTATAGAACAAAGCTTTGCTTCTTAGTTTTCCCAAGCTTTTTAGATTTGATGTGAATTTCTACAAAGTTTCCGGATGAAAAATAGCTAGGCTAATTGAGCTATATAATGATGTCGTAAATTAAATAATTGGTTGCGTAATGATGTCGTAAATTACGTAACTGACTTTATAATGTGCTGTACAATGATGTCGTAAATTAGATAATTGGCTGTAAAATGGGCGGTATAATGATGTCTAAAGTTAAATAATATGATTGGCTGCATAATCAGCTGCATAATGATATCGCAAATTAAAAAATCAGCTTTATAATGGGCTCTATGATTTCGCAACTAAATAATCATTTGTATAATGACCGTAAATTAAGCAGATGCTTTAGAGCATTTATTTACGTTACGACATCATTACACAGCCAATTATTTAATTAACGACATCACTATACAGTTATCAGTCAATCAAGTGTCATTATTTGTTAATTTGTAAAAATATAACAAACAATGTTTTTAACGGGTATTCAATTTACCATCTCTCACACACGTTAAAAAGCTCCTTTTTTAAAAAAAGATATTGCTGCAACTCATAATTTATTACAGTGGTTCCCAATCAGGATTATAATTTCGTTGTTTTAAAGGAAGAGTGAGATCGGGCTGAATTGCACTTGATTTATGAAACAACTCCATAGTTTTGCCAGGAAATAAATTTGGGCTGCACTCACAGATCGGATTTTAAATTTAATTCATTATCTTACTAGTTTGTCTTCTAAAAAGTTGAAAGATGCATTTCGGGGTCTAAAAAATATCCCTCAAACAAAAATACTTGCTTAAAAAGATATATGAATCACAAAATTATGGAGTTTAATGTGTGAAGAGAGAAAAGGATCGAACAGGTTATTGTTTCCTTTTGTGTTGATCTATCTTTGCGAGTCAGGTTACAAATGAAAATGACTTTAAGAAAAGGAAATCAAAAGTTAAAGGTAACATGCTTTTTCTCTTTCCAAAGTACAACTCCTTTAATGAAAGAATAAGAGAATAAAAAACAATGACATCTATCTCATTATTAAAAAAGTGACCTACATCATCAGAGTTTGAGACACTGTTTAAAATAATTGAAGTATTAATTTTTTAAATTAAATAATTTGTTCGTAAATGCAAAAAAAATATATTATTTATTTATGGTTGTGAATGTATTAATTATATAAAAATTATGTTGATGTTATTCATAATTAATGTTCTTTGCAGCACTAGGAATAAAATTTTGATAGTGGAAGTATTGGTTGTACATTTTTTTATGAACGGATACGTACATTTTATCTGAGGATATTTTTAGATATCATGTTTAATAATTGCACTTTAAAAGCTTTGTTTAAAGTTGCAAGTGAAAAACGAATGTAGATTTTTATTATTACCAATATTTAGCACCTTAAATTAGATATTTTTTTTAAAACTATTTCCTAAATGTCTTATGTTTAGGAAATCGTAAATAAAAATGCTAAAATAATATACAGGAATTAGTACCTTTATAATGTACAAAATTTTCATTTAATAAGCATTTCGAAATTCTAACTTTTTCAGACTTATACATTAGAACGTGCAATGTAACATATAAAAATTAATGTAATAAATCCGCTTACCTGTTTTAGTGAGACAAGAAAATATAATACGAGGAATGTTCAAGACCTGAAAAATACGAGACTATTATTGTAATTGTATTATTATATATTCCTCCGTTATATAAAAGATTTATGTTTATTTATTTATTGGTACAATATGCGTTTGTAGACTTGTGTGCACAATTAAGGTTTATAAACCTTTGTCAAGTAGGACAGATTTAGCACAATACGGAAAAGAGCAGCACGAAGATGCATCCAGGGCATCAGCGACATTAGAACCCGGTACCTTTACGCTTCTCACAGAATACAGTGACCAATTTGGAGATAATAGATGAAAAGAAATCATGGAAATTCCTTTTCCCCCTAAAACGTTTTTCCCTATAGAAGGACAATTCTCTTTAGAAATATTATTAAAATTTAATATTTATTCTATTGGAGACTAATATTTTAAAAATGTCTTCTAACTCGAAAAAAATATCAAATAGAGTAGAAAACTCACCATCAATATAAAATCACTTGCAATGACATAGACACTAGATGTCATGATGAAGGAAGCAATGACAATGACTAAAGATTTTACTCTAAACTGTATTGAGTTCTGTGACATGTTACTGTTCTCGAAAAAAATTGATTCTGTCCAACTTCCTCCATTGCTTTCTAAAGACTTAAATATCGTGTTTCGTAATCCACTGGGTTTGAAAAGACAAAAAGCACTTTGACAGATTTCTCTGCCTGGAAAAGAAAAAAGGATTAAACTTCCAAAAACATAAAACTCACGTTTATTTATAAGCTTGATTTATTCTTCCCTAAACATTTTGAATTTGAAATAATTTTTGAACTGCAAAGAATTGACTTTGACAAAACGTTTTGGTAATGGGCACTGCTGGCATTATGGTAATAGGTTAAGTTTTGATACATACCAAATATACTCTAATATAGGTACAATGGATTTTAAAGTGAATTTGGTGCCAATCACAGCCGCATCAATACTTTATATTTTTATGATTGAATTTTTTACATGGATAAAAATGCACAGGAGAGAGTAGCTTGACTGCGGCAAATTTCAAATATCATGAATTCCTCTTGATTACCTCTTGCAACAGCAGTATGCGAGATAATGCTAAATACAGATAACCTTTATTTTGATGGGATGTACTACTAAAAGTTTGCTTTGCTTAATATAATAATGTAAAGCAACTGAGAAAGTCAAAAATAATAATAAATAACAATTGTGTTAATAAATGTAAAAAATAATAATGTAAAAAAATAATAAATATAAAATAAAGAAATAATAACAAATATAAAAAACAATAGAGCAAAAATAATGATAAATATAAAAGATAATAGTGTAAAAATAATAATAAATTACAAATGATAATAATTGTAACTAATACTCGAACATATCTATTTCGTGCCCACTCAAATTTAAGTGTCATAGGTAGGAAATATTTTAGCATTTATAGTATCATATTTAACATTGATCGTAATGTATGCTGACACTGTAGTAGTTTTTAATGCTGTTAAACAAAAAATAATTATTTGCTGATTTCCACATTGAATACTAAATTTGCACCGAGCTCGGAATTCATGTCTATCGAAATAATATTATTATTTTTTAAAGTAATAATATTTTCAAAATAATATTAAAATAATATTTTTTAAAACCAATCCTTCCCTTTAAACTTCCGGCATACTAAAGGTATTTTTGTTGAAGTAAAGGTTTGAAAAAGTCAATTTTAATAGCTCAAAATAGATATAAAAACGTAAATACTATCAAAAATGTATACAACAGTAATAAATTAAACATACCCCAGTTTAGCTTCAATGAAATTAGAGAAGTCAATACAAAAACCAAAAACATTCCATCAATGTAATAAGCATATTTCGATGCAAAAAATGCTAGAAACAAAAAGAAAATTTAAGAGGTGGTTGGTTTAGATATCCTAATGAAAAAAACTAATATAATTGCAGTTTGTTTAAAGCATACAAATACACCAGTACTATGGGCTATGGAGCTCAATTCTATTTTATGCCTGTTATTAATATATGACATGTATCAAAATGTTGGATTCATTAGTCAAATTATGTTTAGGAAAACGTTTCAGTCTACCCAAAGTTGTATTTTTCAAACTACAATATTGCATGCAATGTAAGTTGATTCTTCTTAGCAGAGAAGCACTATTTTTGAAAAATAAATGCATAAGTGATGTGGTTTATTGAGCTTAATTCCCCTGTTATTAACATCTGTTATGCCTAATCGACTGTATGTATCGAAGTGATAGATCCATTCTCCAAATTATCTTAGGAAAAATGTTTAATTCAGTGTAAAGTGCTATTTTTGAAATTGCATTACGTCATAGTAAGTAAATTCTTCTAACTAGAGAATTGAACATTTCTAAAATTTCTACAGAAACAAAACCAAGTTTAAATTAAGGATCCTGGTTGGATATATACGATGAGATATAAATTTGTCAGAATTTATATGACCCTTTAAAGTTTTAGCACATTTAATATTAAGATTAAAATATGTGAAGAGGAAAGAATATTGGGGGTCGAATGGTTGAGGATCCGACTTATAGCAGAGAAGAATACGATTATGTCTCAGCAGATATATTTTTAATTTTCCTTTTCTTAATGCCAAATTTTTTTTTATTTTTTATTTAATGTAAAATAGTGAAAGAAACAAAGAATTTAACTTGATTACCACTTAAGTATATTTATCAATTTTAAATGACGTTATTTTCTTTTCAATAGATAAATAGTAGTTTTTCGAAATCTTGCTATTACTTTCAAAGTCAAAATAAAAAATATATAAATATTATTTCAAAAATATCTAAAAGATTCTTCACTTTTTTTTTTAATTTCACTTTAACAAACATTTCTTTTCCAATTATTCATTCTTCAGAATTAAAATATTTATTTCATTCCAAGAACTAATTTCTAAAACAAATAAATAGTATGTTTAATACATAATTATTTGATATAGATTTATTTAATATACATTTATTTAATATATATTTATTTAATGCATATTTATTTAATATATATTTATTTAAAATAAATAAATATACGTTTAACAACTTTACGAAATGAAATTAAGAAATATTGATGTTATCTGGAATAGAAACGGCGTCCATTCAACTGTAGGGTGCATGACTTAAAAACTTGACCACCAACACTCTTTCTGATTGAAACTTTTTAATCTCAATATTAAATAAGTTAAGACTTTGAGGGGTCATAACTGATCCAGAGTCTTAGTTGTTGAATGGTTAAAAACATTGGACAGGGATCACATTTTAACGTGTCCAATGTATTTAACCGTGTTCCTTAATTTAAACTTGATTTCGTTTCAGTATGAAGTTTACAGATGTTTATTTCCCTCATAAGTGAACTTGTAATACATGGTTATTAAAGCATATTATATTCTTTATTTAAATTGGTATTTGTCAGTTTGTTTATATCAAGAAGCAGTCTATATTTTGATTAGATGTAAAATGTCTAAAAAAAAATTTTCAGGAGCAGAGCTCTGCTTAAAATCTAAGCTTTAAAAATAATCAGAAAATAGCCCCAAAACTTGATTACTAGAAAAATGTGATGTGTCTTATTTATTTTTCACATCCATTTGAAATTTATAATTTGAAGTTATTAAGAACATAACATTAAATTAAGTGCAGCAAACAATTTTATACTAATGGAGAATGGTTGAAATATATGCAAACATTAGAAATTACCGTTTAATGAAAATCTTGAGCTTTCTTGATTGGATCCTAGTTTTTTTTCGTCTTTCAAATGAATTTTTAGTTTCATCCACAATGATTTCGTATTGCGGAAATTCAATCGCAATGCTGTAAGGATCTAAAAAATCAATAACAGTTACAAAATTATTTTCTCATATTTAAAAAAACAACTAAAAAACATTACAACATTATGAATTCATTAGACTCATTGTATTCTCAAATGCAAGTAAATGATATTACTTAAAGGCTATTTTTAATGCAAAGTGCACAAAAAATGCAATACAGCAATAACTTTTGATCAAAACAACGGAGTTTTGCATACTAAGGTGCAAGCTTAATGCCTTAAGGTTATCACCCTACCAACTGGTCCTCCTTTTTAAATAAATAGAATTTCAAGTATCTCGAGATTTAAAATCAAGACAGTATAAACTCATGTTGAACAAGTGATACTGGCTATTCAAATTTCACATCTTATAAGCTCGCCGTTTTAGATCTTTGGTGTTTTAGAGCATTTATCAGACTAGACCAAAACGGGTATCATGTTGAACTTGTTATTAAAAACGATTTTTGTTCAGTTCAGCATATGCTAACAGTTTAAACAACAAAATATATTTATTGATCCATTGTTGCTCTTGCAGGATATCAAAGCAGATTTGCAACTTTGGTAAAAATCACACTCAGATCATATCCGATTATTGATNAAAAATCACACTCCGATCATATCCGATTATTGATTATCATTATGTTAGCAGTTGAAACTTTCTTTTACGAGACAGTGAGTTCTATGAGCAACGGTTTCTTATTGCCAAAATGAAACAAACTTTTACTGTTAAAAATGTATCTTGTCTAAATTAATACACAAATCTAAAACGATAAATAATCTAACGGTAAATAAACGGTAAAATGAAGGAAGTCAGTAGTCGCGATAAAAATTAAAATCATTCCTCATACTTATCTTTTACATATTCAATATTCTGTATCGTAATTAACAATCATCATTAATTATAATATCCTCTATATTATCTTTTGAATATGTTATCGATTATGATTGCTAAAGTATCGTATTAGATGATTATAGTTATCAATCATGATTACAATATTGTCATATTTCATACGCTGCGTATATTGTCATTATAAGGTGACCTGTGTAAATCAGAACGAGTCGTTCCTCTTCATACCTACGGACGTGGTCGCAATAGCAAATAAGTAGTGATCTTTTTTAAATTTTCTTTTGAAGGATAATAATGAAAAGGTTGATAATTAAGAGTAAGTGTTTAAAAAAAAGTGGTAACAAATTGTTACTACTAATACTGTTTGACATTTAAGTATCTGAGTTTATTGAATTTAAACGCCTTGAAATTAAATTGCCGTTTGGGGGAAAGAAATTAGACATATTTATGAATAAAATTACTAGCTACGATTAAATGTAGTATTTAGTTTAGAAATGTTGACTCACAAATTCGAACACCATTGCAATCAGAACACAAACAGACTGATATTTTTTACTACTCTACTCTGACTGACTGAAGTTGTATTCGGAGTCCCTGTCCGCGAAGTGGACACTCCACTCCGTAGGCGCCTGCAGTACTGTCGTTATGACTCTACTGTGCTTAGACTGAATGTGATTACGGAGTACCTGTCCGCGAAGCGGACACTCTACTCCTTCATCTGAGATAGTTCCCGTGGGCGCCTGGTGTACTGTCTTTAGGTAAAAAGACTGAAGTAGTAGAAAAGATGGCTTGGCTGGGTAGTCAGCATGATGGTGTAGACTCCACTCTGCGTGGCACACTTATTTTTATATAGGCTTGGCGACGAAACCCAGAACTTTCATTTTGTTACCAAAGTCGCCAAATTTATAGCTAATTTAACAAAAATGCCGCCAAACCGAGTCTTTCGTAAGAAATGCATTAGGCGCTATTTTCTCTTTAACTTACTTTAGAATTACGCGACTTGCTTGCAAACTTTCTGATTAAACTATTTATTTAGTGTCTACCTGAGATATTTAGCCTCATAACAAAATGGTATTCACCAAACTATACACATATTTACAAATTCGTAACAATATATACTAAACAAAATAAGTAAAATCATAATAAATGCTCATTAATTCAACATTTTAATTCACTATATCTTCCGAACTATATATCACTCAAAACTGATTTATCTAAAAGCAACTTCATTACGAATATTCTTTTTTTTTTGCTTAATAGGTATGCAAATTTTTACCTTCTTTTAAACTTTGCAATTTTCTTTTGAAATTTCAAATGACAAAATTTAAAATTTGAGGAAAAATGAGAAAAAAAATGTTTCTGAATAACAAAGTGTTAGAAAACAGTACATTTAAATTATTCTAATTTGAGTGATTTCAAATTTTAGAATTTGGATGATCAATTCATTATCAAAATTTTCGCTAATAGCAAAATAAATTTTCAGGTAAATTGTTAACCCCATGAAAGTTTAAAAATTTTATTGAGTTAAAGTAAGATCCTAAAACTTTATCTGATTTCTTTTAGCAAATACATAAAGTTTGAAATTGTTAACTAAATATCTTCCTAGGTTTTAAATTTTATTATTAAGATAATGTAAATAAAATCTCACCTTTGCAATGGTTCCAAAAACACACACAATTGAAATGAAAACAAATATTGCACTTAGTCGAATAATTGTTGGAGCTAATATCCTACACGATCGCTCAATTAAAAGATAGATGGTACTTGATAATGGAGTTAATTCTGACACTACGGAGAATATTTCAGAATCATCAATAATAAATGTAGATTCCAAGCACTCATATTTGACATATGCATCCCAAATGTTGTTGCAAGACTCATAATTGATGCTATGTATCAACCAGGAATGATCCGACCAAGTTACAAATGAGTTTGGGGCCATGTAGTCAAAAACTTCTGGAAATACCCTCTCATGCAGTAAGCCACAAATGAACAAAATGGCAATCGCTGTAATGAAATATAAGACAGTTATGGTATATGTACAGAGTTTTAAAATTAGGTAAATATTAGAAAAGCATAGTTTTAGAAGACCAAAATTATGACGTTAATATTATTTAATAATTTAATTGAAAAAAATCCTTATCTAAAAAACAATAAGTGGACAGAAGCCAGAGCGGTTTAGTCAAAAAAGTGAAATGTGGGCATTGCTGTCAAAGGTAAGTAAGCAGCATCGTTTCTATCTCATCCTTTATTAAAAATGATTGGAGGTCATTCCGGTAGCAGAATTTACGAAGTAAATCGACGTAAATATAACTTTTTCTAAGACCAAAATGCAGTCAGGCACAGTGTAAGGGTCCGGCTTAACGATATACCTAAAAACTATACGTCACCTAAACTTAATTTTAATGAACAATGATACTCCATCTGCCCCAAATTAGTAGCTACAATTGAATATTTTCTTATTGTTTATAGATACTGATGAGTTTATGATTTTGTTTGATCATTTTTGAAAAATATCAGGAAGCTATGATGTCAATCAGTCACAGTTACTTATTTAGAATACCCTCCTCCCTCTCTAAATCAATACCGAATTAGTTTAAAAAATCCAATATCCGCACGCATTTAAGCCACTCTCCATTATGTAAGTACTCTTCTACCAGTTATCCCCTAAAACTATCATCTAGCTATATTCACTGTAGACGTAGAATTTTACTTGTGTTGATCTACTAAACTACATCGGAACAAATTTTTGATACCACCTACTTGAAATGTTGTAATTAATTTGGGACAAAATTTTCGATCAAAATGTAGCAACTAATTCGGCACAGATGGAGTACTAACAAAGTGGACTAAATCCAATCCTTATACAGTAAATATCTGTAACCAATTAACAGAAAAAATATCCTTTGTTTTTTGCAGTGCTCCCTTTCTTACACTTTATAATCTTGATTTGAAACAGGTTTATAGATGTTTTGAAAAGGAGTCAGTAAAAGAAGAATCGATGAAAAATAAATCTAAAGGTGTTGTGACAATCAGCAGTGCCGGCTGCTGTGATGGAGGTTTTCTGATACCGGGATGGTTATGATTTAGGTTGTTCGTGGCAAAAATATATTTGCATGTTATGAAAAATGTTGTTAACAAAATAGAATGGTTAAACGATGGGTGAAGACGATTCATTCAGGGTGTAAAAAGAGCAAGATGTGCTAAATATAAGCCGGATGTCAACAAATCGGCGTTGTGATTGGTCTTTTTCCTTTACAGATTTTATGTTCTATATTATAAACCTCATTAAACAGCCGACCCAATTTAGGGTTTACGACTACCAATATTCAACTTCGTAGCCTTGTAAATTTGAACCCAATCCAGAAGACGGGGAAACCCCTGGATCAAGTATTTGGAGAAATTCGCCTTCAGGGATGAAACTAAATGAATGAAACCAAACAGCATTTTCGTTACGTGGAGGGGAAAACCACAAAAAACCTCCCATGATTTGCCTGGCGGCAAGGGGACTCTATAAACTATGATCCTCTTACCACTGAAAATATTTTACGTCAGCACTATCGCTTGGATTCGAACCAGTTAACCTCATTGGGGGGCGAGCGTTCTGTTCCCTCAGACACTATGGCTCTCCTTTACCAATTACTACTACACCATCAGTGCTCAGCTGTATGAAGTATATGTTCACGTTTGAATCAAAGCAATATTCCTATCATGATGCATGATGACGCCCTTGCAATGTCGTATTCAGTATCAATAAGATGTTTCAACTGCAAAGTTGGTGGTTTTGGAACAACCCCCTGTACTCGCGTGAATGCGACTTATTTACTAACTGAATCCAACTCTGCTTTGACATTTTATTTCCTGACGTGGTATATGTGCCCATGGCAGAAATACTTTATGTGCCCTTTATCAATGCACAACCATTTACTGAAGGTGCGCAAAGATTTTTCGCAAATTTTAAAAAAGACAAAATAAGAATTAAAAGAAAAATAAAGTTTCCTTATGTTTATAGTGAATGGATAGAACGTTATTTAAGAACGTTATTTATATAGAATCATCGTTATTTATATAGATTACCAACGTTATCTATATAATTTACGTTATTTATATAGAATCATTAAAAAACACTTTCTATCTATGTTTTGTATGTGCATACAGAAGAATTCATAAAAAAAAACTGTGTCGAAAGCTATAAAAATAAAATTTTCTCAAAATACAGAAACCGTGAAGTTATCTTTTACATACTTTACAGGTATTGTGTGTGTGAGTTCATGGGCACTTTACAGATTTTAAAAATTTGAATTTTTAAACACTTTACAGGCATTCTGAATGAGAATTCCAGAATAGTAGCTTGGTGAGCATGTAAGTCATAAAAGAAAAGAAAAATATTCAGGAAAAAAATAACGTGATCAAATTTCCACCTCTCTGGCTATTAAAGTTAGTAATTTGTGTTTTCATCTATCGGTAACTCATTGAAAAAAGCTTTAATACCTAATTAATATGAAAAAAGACCAAAGTTTGCCTACCGATGCCAAGGAATATGATAATTATACAAAAATTTCTGCATTTAAACAACATTTGATTCCAATGTATTTTACAATGCATGAATTTAAAATTCAAGTAAAGAACTTTGAATTACCCTACATATTTAAGCTCATTCAGTCGATGATAATGACATTTATGTATCGAAAGCAAGCAACAAAAGGAAGATAAGAAATAAGTCCATAGATATCAATCTCTTAACTTGAAGTTTATTTCTTAAAATGTAAGATTCAAGAGCTGACAGCAGATGCCCACTAACAAAATTATGTTATCTTATTCAAATGTTAAACGTACTAGAGACAGGTACTATGAGACACAATGGGGGGCAACTGGAAAATGAATCTTGCATTGTTTATGCTGTTTGTTTAAGCTCTCAGTTTAACTGTGAAAAAAAAGTCCAAACACCATACTTTTTAGACGGGGGATGCTTTTTGTTATGGAAACATTAAAAAACAAACTATAGTATTCTTCTTGTAAACTCGACTCCAAAATCCTACTGGAAATAGTTTAACTTTGTAACCATAGTCGCTGACAATACTCTAAACAATTCGTAAAAAAAGTTCCTTTGTTCCAAATAACAAAAAATGTTCAAGCAATTATTTCCTTCACAAAATTTTATTAAATACGAACCTGAGTTAAAAATAGTCACCGAACACCTTGCAATATCAATCAATACCCATATTGTCGGCTTCATCTTGTCTTTTTCAACTTTATGCTTCTCACTTCAACATGCGTGGTATTTTTCTAAAATCAGAACATGTTTGTTGTTTCAAAAACATTAAATTCCTGTTCAATATTAACAGTTTATTTTGTTGAAATTGAATTTAATATTTGTTTAGAATGTTACGTATCTCTTTTTTTATATAAAAACCCCGAAAAACATTTTAATTTTACATCAAAAAAAAAAAACTTTTAACTCTACTAGTAGGCTTCACCCATTGCTCGCTTTGCTTACCATCATCCATCTCATTCCTATTTAACTTTTTTAAACCATATTTTCTCCTAAAAAAATGAACATTTTGTAAACAAAATATACAATTATGGTAGTTTGATATAAGAACATTTTGTCACTATGTTAATCGTCACAAAAGGAACAATTACCCTGGATTTAAAAAAGTAATCATAAAGGAACAGTTTTTATCTTTTCAATGTATTTTTTTAAAAATTTCAATATGAGTGTTAAGATTTATGTCTGGCAACATTTGGCATACGCAAGTTCGAGCTTATGAAGTAAAGATTTCGAGAGAATTTTCAACAACAGTGAATTAATAGCCAATATTTTAGAGTAAAATTAATAAATAAGTAAATAACAACTGAAAAAAATGCATAACAAAGCAGTTAAGATTTCAAAAACTTTCAAACAAATTGCAATTACAAAGTAAACTTTAGTAGTGGTCTGTAGAACTGCTCACATGGTAATTTTCAAGTTTATCCCAAATAAGTTAAACTCTGTTAAGTTCATATAATTCTTACGAACAAAGAAAATTTTAACTTAAACAGGTAAATATGATTTAAAATGTAATTTCGCTCCCTTTTTTTTTATCGAAATACAGCCAAACTTAAACAGAAATTTTACGTACGAATTTTTTATTTCTATATTAATGAGTTAACGTAATTTCGATTGTTAATACTCCAGCTAAAACATGCATTATATTAAAAAAAATGATTTTTTTATTGAGGCAATAAGACAATAACTTTAAGGTTGTAATCTACCTAATGATAGTGAACAAAATATTAAGAATTATACGCTGCACAAAGTTAGTTATCGTTAGTTAGTTAGTTAATGATAAAAATGAATTAAAAAATTGACTTATTTACTCTCGGATCTTCATTTAGACCTTTCAGTTTGTATCATATAGAGCTATCATTACCGAATAAAAATAATTATAATGATGGTTAAATGATTTGCTAATTTAAGTTAATTAATTTAGATGGAAATTTTCTGGTGTGCTCATTTACCAACAAAAATATAAATATCCCAAAATGTTGTATTTCATTCGTACATGATTTGTGCTTTAGCGAACCATTAGAAAATTTGTCCAAGTCAACTTTCGTGATTTAAATAGATCTGGGCAAAAGAAATATATAAAAAGTTTGAGTTTACACTTCAATGCTAACGTACATAAAAAAAAATTTTTTTTTGAAAAATGGTGATAGCGCTTGGCAAAATGGCAACACTAGCTCGCCGAGATGGTTTTAGTGCCAGGCCTTATTGGTTTAGTAAAAACCTTAACAGCCAGTTTTATTTAAGAGTTTATCGTTGTACTTTGTATTTGTATCGTTTTATTTGTCTCTTTTTTAGTTCCATAAAATGCTTAGTTGTTAATTTTTCAAGCATTTCATGTTTTAATGAAGACATAAGTACATTTTGTTTAATAAATTACTATTTACTTAAATATTTTAATTTCTCCTCATTTTTCTTGCTTTTAAATTTTACTCTATTTTGACTTAAGTTTATGTTTGTATGGATGAGTCAAGCATCCTTTATCCCTTTGCACTAAAAAATAATTTCCTAAAAACGTTATTAATGTATATTTTTTCCTGTTGAATCGTGGTATTTGTTTATATTAGCAACTACTCTTTCCATTTGTTCATCCCATCTTGTATATAAACAAGCAGCTGATTCCAGAAATCTTCTTCTTGAGTTGCAGGCACCCAATTCATCATATGAAAGAATGAAATAATCATTAGTAAAAAAATATATGACAGAAACACAATATACACATGCAATGGAACAAAAATATAGTATAAAAAGTTTGAACTTGATTAAAATATTTAATGTTTCGATATGAAATTCTTAATCTGAAGATAATTCAAAACGCTAATATAAATTCCCACAATACTATCTATATTTAATCCTTTTTGTTAGAATGAAACAATAAATGAAATAACTTTAAAACTGTGCACACAGAGAAGTATTAAAGTGAACAAATATATGAGAGAGTCACTACATTATAAATCGTACAGGGCCACCTATCCGAATCTACTGTATTGCTCCTTTTAGTTTTGTTAGATCAAGAAAAGGCCTATTTCGCGAGGAAAAACTTTAAGAAAAGCACTCAGATGACGTCATCGATGACCCTTCAGTATTACTATTCGTGGGTTTGGAGATATTTAAGGTGTCATCACTTCTTTTTAAATCAATAAAATCAATTACCATCAATCAATTACTAGTAACAACCAAATTAAATACTCATTATTTTAAAGCAAAAATATTGTAAACAACCGGTTGCAACTAATTTAATTACATATAGCTATTAATTGAACGAGATTAGCCAAAAGATATAGACCAGACTCAAGCATGAACATGTCTATAGAGATGTCAATTTCACTTGCCTGTCCACTGAAAATCCACCAATGATCAATCAGTTAGATAGAACCAATAGGAATACTTTTCTACTGGAATGGGATTACGAATTGTGCCATAGGAGTAATGCAAACAACTAGTTACCATTCACACCCACAAAACTACGACAATTGTTTGATTTATTTCACTCAAGTGACATAGTTCAGCCCTGATTTGGACATCCCTCTAAAATTTATAACATGGTTTCTCACAAAATGTGAAGTAGGCAAAAAGAAAGAAGTTTAACAAGGGTTTAATGATTATTTTTAATGTTTAGTTTATTAAGTTTTTCGTGCTGGGCAAAGTTGACTAAGCCTTTCATCCCTTCAGTGGGTCGATAAATGAGTACCAAGCATACTTGGGAACTAAACACTGGGGGTTTCGCGTTCCGCTGACCACCTAACCGGAAAATATTCTCCTGCACCCCAGAGCTCAAGGTCAAGAAAACTGAGATGGGCACAATAGGCCTTGGCCCTCTATAGACTGTCGTGCCACTGAGTTTAGTTTAGTTTTCAGTTATTAAGTTTAAGTTATATTCATTCAAAAAGTATTTTTCAATAAGGACGTGTGTTTTTTATTCTGAAAAATGAAATAAAATAGACTCCTTTTTCTACGGTGATATCATTAGGCATTGATCATAAAAATTTGCGCATATGCTTTAAATCTGCAAAAATTTGATAGAACCTCCAATAGCTTTGAAAAAATAATTTTTTAGTTTCAGATTGGAACACTACAATATACATTGAGGAATCATCTATCTGAAGAAAAATTAAAATAAAATATCTAAAAAGATAATGTAAACCTGTAGAAGAATAAAATTCATGGTTGGTTGGTTCTAATGCAACTTGCCACACGGGCAAGCCTTTTCTTTATGAAAAACCTTTAACCTATAGCCCAGGACTTGGCCACTAGTACAGATCTCTCCAGCCTAGGAACGGGAAACTACTCTATTGCTGTGTGCTTTAATCCAGGAAATTTGTATTGATGCGTGTTGAAGTTCTTGTTGAATATGAAAAGAAATTCTATTAATAGTGCCAAAATCAAGTATTGATGATATTGATGCTTTTGAGTCTGACCAGATGATATAACTATCATTATTATTGAAGTTTTCAGTGCTCTTAATATATTTAATGCATTCAAGGATTGCCGACTGTTCGGCTTGAAAGATTGAATTTTCCCTGTCTAATGTGTAAAGAAAGAAAGGAAAAAAAATTTAGAACTATCTAATAATAAGGGGGAAAATTAAATAAAATAAAATTAAAAAAAATTGAAATAAAAAATAACAATAATAAATTCCTTGAAACAAGAACGAAGATGTTAGAAATCTGTTCTTAGTTATATAAAGTAAATTTCCAAGCGTTTGCCTGGTTTGCTACCTGGTTTGCTACCTGGTTGACGACGGTTAAAAAGTGGAATCTCTACTCTGAATGGATTGACGAAACTCCTTCAGTTCATGTAGGTAAGTTGGGCAGGATGATGTGGAGGCTCTGTGGTAACAGTCCAAATTTAGGTTGAAGACTTGGTAAGATGAATGGCAATTTATGCAATATTCTTCCCTTTCTGTGCAGTTTTCAGCACTATGGCCTTAGTAGCCGCATTACTCACAATAACAATGAGACTCTGTACGGGAGTTTTGATGGTGTCCAATTGTTTGGCATTTTCTGAGTCTGAGTAATACTAGTCTTTTTATGATAGTCATAGTGTGTGAAGTCCAGTGAAAAAAAGCTGAAGTGTTGTGGAAAGTCTATGGTTGACTCTTTTATGGGGTATGTTTTTAGCTAGTTTTATGACTTCAGAGTTTGGATTAAAATCTCCATTTATCTTTATTACGTCAATTATCTCGTTAACTGTGAAAGTCATGGGAGTGTTTAGTAGGATTAGTGAGAAAAGCTTTGCATCCTTCTCTTGATATTGTAGACCAATTTTCTGTAACGTGGTTAGAACTTTTTCTTTTTGTTGAGTATTATGGAATTTGTTGAACACGGGCAAGCCTGCTTGGTGAAACCGAGCAAATTTAAGGCAGAGTGTGCGATTCTGGTTTTTCAGTGGCGCCATCTATGGCCAAGAATTCGAATTCTGCCATATCATACGTCACACCTATTTTATAAGCCAGACCTATTCATGCATGGAGGACTATGCGACTCGACAGAATTTTAACGTGCATCAGTCACCAACTGCACGAGGAGTCTTCTGCCGGCGAAGTTCGAACCCACGAACTCTCGGACATGGGCCCAGCGCCCCACCGACCAGGCTATCCCGTTTTGAAATTTACTAGGAGGCTTCGAACCCTGCTCGCTGGCGCTCGCCAATCCCCGGAACTGTTTTTGCAGTTCATTTCGGATTGCTTCGCAATCCGATGCTCGCTTTGCTCGCTCATTGGATACGTTCTTAACGTCTAGCTTTTGTA